AAAAGGACAGGTGGAACTTCATAGTTGTATTTTTTATACGCTTTATTTATAATCGATACAAAAAAAATACGAATAATAACAAATAAATAAAATAAAACAAAAGCATGTGAGTTTTCAAGTTGAAACGTCAAGCACATGATTATCTATAAATATAAAACCTTCATACATCACCATGCGATGACGTCAGAGTACCCGTGCACACGTATGTATACATACAGTTAAAACTGAATTCTCCGAAATTGAAAGAGAAAAAAAAAAAAAATGTTAAAGTGCAATAGAACGCTGACTTGTTGCGCAAGTAGCGTGTAGAATATCAACAGCATCAGCGGCGACGAGACGCGTGGTTTTTTCCTCTCGTGCACTTTTACTTTTTGTTTTTTCACAGCAGCAATTTATAGTATAAGGATAGCATACAAGTGTATAGGCATACATGTACGGTGCGACAAAATCATCCACGTGCTCCGTCACGTCGCACTTGCTTAGGGCTCTAACTTTGTCGATCGAGTTGCTTAGTGGAGAAAAAACAACACCGCAGCTACCGGTGAACTGGTTTTTATATGTACGAAATCGGATCAAGATGTGTAAAAAAAAAAAAACTGGATTTTATTTTAAACAATATGAGGTAAAAGTGATGTAATAAAATGCGTCAAAAGTTTTTTTTTTTAATATAAATTGACTATTAATTGTATCTAATTGGACATCAGCATCAGTAGCATCACTATAGATGATTATTGAATACTATAACTCATTTGTATGTGGGCCAAGCCTGCCAGCCATCGAGTGATTGTAGAGCAGACTATTGCCCGACATGTACGTAGAAATGCATATAATATTACGAAGAAAAAAAAAAAAAAGAAAAAGATTTTATCTATCATACTAAAATACTCAAGTTTACATATGTTTCCACCAATAATTTACGTGAGCATGTTACTTTAAATAGGTTGCAATCAGACTTCCATCTTACAATTATTTTGAAACATAATTTTTAAATGAAATAGTGTGACGTATTATTGACGCTAAAAAAATTTTTTAAGTACTATTTATAATATAATGCTGCAAAAATTTTTTCACAGCAAGAACAATTTGACAAAAAAAAAATTAAGATGAAACGAAATCGAAGCGTTTGAAAATGTATTTAAATATTTTATTTCAAATAGTTTACTATAAACTATAATATAACTAAACTTTAACTGCACTTATGCGGTATGAAAAAATGTTTTGTGTACCAAATGCTCCAAATCGACCGAGAAAACCAGGTGTAATCTTGATCGCATGATGTTTTCTGCACTTTGTAAAGACCAAAGTGAAAATTAATGAAAAAAAAAAAAAAAACCATCTGAAAATACCTTGAAAATCAAAGTACACAGGGTTACAGTCCAATGTGTGTTAATACACACCAATATCCGACGTTGATTCACGCGAGCAGCCAAGAAAGTATTGCAAGACTCACCTAATTGTGCATTCATCAAACGAAACGGTAAAAACAATTTTGAAACAAAAAAAAAAAAAAAAAAAAAAAAAAAAAAACTGAAATCATTCGTATTTGCACGCGCGATTACACGTTGTACCAACGTATATAGACGTGTTCGTAACGAGCCCGATGGCACTGGAGATAAGCTCCAACAGTGGCCTGCTTAGCACAATGACAATGCACGTCTGTGAGTACACACTGGATACAATTATTCCGAAAAAAAAAAATATTGTGCCAACTCAATAGACACAGCATGTCCCTCCCCGGGTTCTCACATTGTCCGGCATGCACCACCAGCCAGGCTGTTCACATTCAACAACTCGTTTGACTCTTGTTTTTTTTCCGAATCGAGCACACCAGCCACGTACGCCTAATTAAGTATTTTCGTACATAATAACAAGGACGCGTGTGCACGGCACTGAATAGAGAAAAAACAGGTAAATCTATACACGTGCATATAATATATGTATACACGCCTTTATCGGTGCAACTGTGTTAATTATGCTACCTCTAACAAAGGTTTTCCATGCCACGAGGGTCTGAGACAGCTGTTAATAAAAATCAGAAAAAGTGCAATGCATATATACACATTTATGAATGGAAAGAGAAGTAGGTATTCTTCTCAAGTGTAGCAAATGAGCCATAGCGTAGCGGCCAGTGACAGGGTGGAAATGGGAAAAGAGTGGGATTCTTAATTTTTACTGTCAGCACCAGCAATACATTCCCGTATGTTAAATGTTGTTGTGCACGTGCAGTGGCAAAAATCTGGAGCATTGAGAGGTAATGCCAATAGGGCCGTTAATTAACGTCGGTGATCGGTATACCTACCATGCAAGCATCGTATTACTATTACACTTGCCGATAGTATTCCATTTGAGCAGAATCAAAGTTTGCCGTTACCAAAGGTACCAAAGTACCGAGACCCTCGTTATACCTTTTGACGACCGGGAGTAATTATGTGGGTAAGTACATGGCACGTGGATCCCCAGACCTTACGTAACGTAGTACATAGGAGACGAGAAAAATTCAATAAGCCACGAGCAAGAGGCGATAAGAAAACCCTACAAATACTCACAACGTGTGTGGCGGTAGCTTGAAAAAAAAAAAAAAAAGATAACTCGGAATAATATACTTACGTACAGGTGCTACAATTTACTCGCAACGTATACGTATGATAGGCAGCTTACACATCTCTTATCTGAACGGAGGGCGATTGGATGTACAACACTTGAGTGCCAGGTATATATTATACAAAATTTATACATACTGGTATAAAAAATCCATTTTGCTCATTAATGCCTCAAGTGTGCGCATACAATGTTACTATACCTAAAAATAGTTATACATGACAATTGAAAAGTTGTTTATAGTAACATCGGTCACACATGAACGTATAAAAGTAGTGCAAACGCCGGCAAATTCCAACTATATCTTGATGGAAGGAGCAGGTACTTGTGCGTGTATACGTAATGGGCTTGCAGCCAATACACCAAAAAGAATCGCTCGAGCCAACATATTACAATAGGCTGTACCTGACGTACAGGTGCTGAAGATGTAGGCGTGTAATATACAAATACGGGGGAGGGCTGTTGTACATCGCGCGGCTCCTCCGCGGTTGTTTTTCAACGCGTATAGGTAATATCCATGTATAGGCGAGAGCGCCGGCGAGCACGTGAGCCGGCTGGCTACACCCATTCGACGCGTTGGCGCGATATTTTGTGCAGATCGAGCGCTGCGCTGCCGATGATCGCACGCCACTCCGCGACTTGTACGGTCCGCTTCTACACATACCGATCTCGTTTTGTCGCTTGTCTTCAAAGTCCCCGATATCCGGTTCAACTCTCGCGAGTGTACGTATACAGGCCTCTTTTTTTTTTTTGCGGGCCATTTGCGCAGAGAGGGCAGACCGGAGTATGGTTTAGGCCGCTGACACGGAAATCGCGAGATCAGGTTGCACGCGGGTATATACCCTCGCGATCGAGACCCGAGCGGTTTTATCAAGCGCCAGTCCTTCAGCCGCCAACCTGTTACGTGTGTACGTATATGATTTTTGATTGAGCTTGTTTTCTTTTTTTCTTTTTTTTTTTTTCTACATGCAGCTCCGTGCAATTTTTATTGTTGCTCGTGACTGCGTTGTTACAAAAGGCCACTGGTTACGATGAACAATTTCGAGTTGAAGCCAACATTTTTTTTTTTCACTTTCAAGCTTATTGCGAGACTTTATTATTCGTGAAGCGAAATCTTATCTCGACACCGCGGACTTTGCGGCGCGAGATAAGATTTCTCAAAGTATGCGCTCACTCGAGTATATTAAAGGCACCAAAGGTAAAACACCGAGTCGCGGGACGACGACGACGAGTGTTATTCATCGCTCGATTTTGTACTTGTACGACGCGCCGGTGCGACTAAATTTTCCGCCTCCTTATCGAATTGTGCGCGACGAACAGCGTGGAAAGCGTTGCTTCTCGCTACACATACCTTTTTTTTTTTTTTTTTGCTATTTGTCACGAGGACTTTGATATCCTCTCCTCGACAATTTATATTGCGCTCTCGTATAACGCGCACTCGAATTACCCGCGTGTTTATCAAGTGGTGTTGGTTTTGCCCACTTTTATTGTTTTGAATATAATATAATTACCCATATTTGCGCCGGCGCGTCCTTGGCGCGAACAAACAGATGATATCGCTCCTATTAATTACTATACTTACTTTTGTAAGCAGCACGAGTCGGTTATTCAGGTATACGAGTAGTACTTCTCGAGTTTCCTCGAGTCGAAAAGTTGGCTAAAATTCACAGACTAGAAAAACACACGAGTGTCTACAATATAATTTCTTGTCGTTTGATCATCGTCCTATTGATCATCGAAAATTAATGAAGGTGACCGACAAACGATTTGAATAACTTTAGAGTACCCTGCCGCAAAAAAAAAAGAAAAAAAAAAGATAATAATATTCCCTCGCATCTCATTACTTTGGATCGGCTCGATTTTCGACGCGCATCCGAGGTCGCAACAATTGTAGCCTCGCAGCCGCGTCGTTCATATGTACACACACACACACACACGAATCTCGTGACCGGCTGGATCCGGTGCTATAGAGGACACACTTTTTCGTGTAACACGTAACCAACGTAGGGGTTTCCCCCTCGTTTTTTTTTTTTTTTTTTTTTTTCCTCTCCTACCAACCACCGCAAATAATGAAACAACCATCACCTTTTGATCTTTTTATTGATTTAAAACTTCACCTTTTCCANGGATCCGGTGCTATAGAGGACACACTTTTTCGTGTAACACGTAACCAACGTAGGGGTTTCCCCCTCGTTTTTTTTTTTTTTTTTTTTTTTCCTCTCCTATTCAATTTCACCGAAGCGTAAAGAAACCAATTGCGGCTCATCGAACAGTAAGTAGGAATCTTTTACGACCGCGTCCGCACTCATATCTCGTTTGTTCGGGAACTCGGTCCCCCCACCATTTCATCCGCGTAGCTTATTACTGTAAGGAATAAAAAATGAACCGTTTCTCTGTTTCAGCGGTAGGAATCAGAACAGGTTGGAACGCACCAGGTCGCAGCGAAGATGGGGGCGATGTTCAGGAGCGAGGAGGTGGTCCTGTGCCAGCTGTTTATCCAGCCGGAGGCTGCCTATCTCTCGGTGTCGGAACTCGGGGAGACCGGGACCGTCCAGTTCCGCGACGTAAGACTACGGACAAATTGGTAGTCAGTTACACGATGAGCGTACCGATCTTTACATGGCGTGTGTCTCTTGGGTTCGTTTCAGTTGAACGTCGACGTCAACTACTTCCAGCGGAAGTTCGTGAACGAGGTGCGCCGCTGCGACGAGATGGAGCGCAAGCTGCGTTACATAGAGGCCGAGGTCAAGAAGGACGGGGTGCCGATCGAGGACAACCTGAGCGAGCTGCCCCGCGCACCCATACCCCGCGAGATCATCGACCTGGAGGTACCCAATCATGATCCATGTGAACCCTGTTTTTTTTTGGTCTCTCTCGGTATCTTTTTTTGCCAACAATGCGTGTCGTTGAATACAGGCGCGGATCGAGAAGACGGAGAACGATATATTGGAGCTGAGCCAGAACGCCCTGAGCCTCAAGAGCAACTACCTCGAGCTGACGGAGCTGCGCCACGTGCTCGAGAGGACCCAGGTCTTCTTCAGCGAGGTAGGTACCACGAGTTTGGGCCACCTCCACCGTTGCCCCTTCCTTGTGTCAATCCCAGCTTCGCCCCCTTCCCGCATCCGTTTAATAGGTGCTTCACGTTTTGTCGAAGAATCAAGGTTCCCTTGTGCTTCTGTACCAACAGGAGGAGGCCCACGACTCCATCACCCGCGCCCTCATCCACGAGGAGTCCCAGATGCCCAACACCACCGGCCGTGAGCGTCTCGAGTGAGTTTTCCATTGAACATTACTCGTTTACCGGTTGCCTAACACGTGTGCCCTCCGCAGGTTCGTCGCCGGGGTGGTCAATCGGGAGCGCATGCCGGCCTTCGAGCGGATGCTCTGGCGTATCTCGCGCGGCAACGTCTTCCTGCGCCAGGCTATCGTCGAGAAGCCCCTCGAGGACCCCAGCACGGTACGAATGACCTTTCTTTTTGGCTTATAAAACGTAAACGATTGTCCTCTGAACGTCTCGTCGCTCGGACAGGGCAACGAAATGTACAAAACGGCCTTTGTGGCCTTCTTCCAAGGGGAACAGCTCAAGAGTCGCATAAAAAAGGTGTGCAGTGGCTTCCACGCGTCGCTCTATCCCTGCCCGAGCAGCCACTCCGAGCGCATGGACATGGTCAAGGGAATCCGTACGAGGCTCGAGGACCTCAAACTGGTAATCATATATTCATTTGGTCATTGTCCCTTCATCCGTGTATGTATACTTGATGGGGATTCGTTGCTCCGTAGGTGCTGAATCAAACGCACGATCATCGCCAGCGCGTCCTCCACAACGTCGCCAAGGAGTTGCCGAATTGGATAATAATGGTGCGGAAGATGAAGGCCATCTACCACACCATGAACCTTTTCAACATGGACGTGTCGAAAAAGTGCCTCATCGGGGAGTGTTGGGTGCCGATGGCCGATCTCAACATCGTGCAGCACTGCCTAAGCGAGGGATCGGTACAACTGTTTTGATGACCATCGTTTATTATTATCATTACTCACGAGGTGACGGTACGAGGGTTACTTTTTTGTTGTTGTTGCAGCGATTGTGCGGCAATTCCATTCCCTCGTTTCTCAACGTGATACACAGCGACGAGGACCCACCGACGTTCAACAGGACCAACAGGTTCACGCGAGGCTTCCAAAACTTGATAGACGCGTACGGTATCGCCTCGTACCGCGAAGCCAATCCCGCCCTCTACACCATTGTGACGTTTCCCTTCCTCTTTGGTATCATGTTCGGTGATGCAGGCCACGGTGAGTCCCGACCCACACGACCCGTGCCAACACCAAAACAATCTACCGCCTCAATAACCCGTCGATCTACTTTAGGACTGTTGATGTTCCTGTTTGCCCTGTACATGGTCGTTTGGGAGAAGAAACTCCTGGCCAAGAGAACGAGCAACGAGATCTGGAACATATTTTTCGGAGGTCGTTACATCATCCTGCTGATGGGTGGTTTCTCCATATACACGGGCATCATCTACAACGACTTGTTCTCCAAATCCATGAATATTTTCGGCTCCAAGTGGGTACTGCCGCGGGGTGCGGAGTACACCTTCGACAACATGAAGAAATCGCACACCAAACTCCTGGATCCGAAATCCACGTTCGCCGACGAGCCCTACATCCTCGGGATGGACCCCATATGGATGTTCGCCGAGAACAAAATCATATTCTTCAACTCGTACAAGATGAAGCTCTCCATCATCTTTGGGGTCGTTCACATGATATTCGGCGTGTGCATGAGCGCCGTGAACATCATGTAAGTTCACTCGTTACTTCCAAACAGTCGAAAAAAAACCCCAATATTAAACGGCCCTTTACAGATCTTTCAAAAAGTATTCGAGCTTGTTCCTCGAGTTCCTGCCGCAGTTGTTGTTCCTGGTGGTGCTGTTCGCGTACTTGGCCGCCCTCATGTTCCTCAAGTGGATCCGGTACGGCGCGCTGAATTCAGGTAACGATTTCTTTTTTTTTTTTTTGTCCTCCCTTCGTCTTTCCATACCCGCACGTGTATACGTTAAAAGTTCGAAACTCGGGCACACAGGTATCGCATCCGAAGCTTGCGCCCCCTCGATCCTCGTGAGCTTCATCAACATGGTGCTGTTCAAGGATCCAAAGACTTACCCGAATTGCGGTGACGGTTACATGTTCCCCAACCAGAAGCTCGTCCAGCACGTATTTCTGTTCACGGCCGCCATTTGCGTGCCAATTCTCCTCTTCGGCAAGCCCCTGTACGTCGTATGCACCAAAAAGGGCTCCAAGGGCAAGGTTTACGTAAGCTCGTTTTACCATTACTCGTATATCGTTCCAACGACTCCAGCACTAAGTATAACCCACCCATAGACGAACGGCGCGGCTTCGCAGGACATCGAGCTGCAGACGTCGAACAGCATTAGCGGGGCGACAGCCAACGCGGCAGTAGCGAGTAGCCCGAGCAACGCGGCGGCCCCGGGGCACGCCGATCACGAGCACGACGACTCGTTCGGCGAGCTGATGATCCACCAGGCGATCCACACCATAGAGTACGTCCTGTCGACCATCTCGCACACGGCCTCGTACCTGCGGTTGTGGGCCCTGTCGCTCGCCCACTCGCAGCTGTCGGAGGTGCTCTGGAACAAAATCTTGCACGCCGGCCTCGGCGCCCAGAAGGACCAGTACGTGCTCGCTGGGATACTCTTTGTCACCTTCGCCGTCTGGGCCTTCTTCACCGTTGCCATTCTCGTTCTCATGGAGGGCCTGTCCGCCTTTCTCCACACGCTCCGTCTACACTGGTAATTCACCCATTTCTTTTTTTTTTTTTTTTTTTCCATCGCTGTCGTTACCACGTTTTTTTGTTCTGTTTTTTCATTCGATTCGCACGCACGCAGGGTCGAGTTCATGAGTAAGTTCTACGAGGGCCAGGGCCAGCCTTTCCAGCCGTTCTACTTCAAGACGATTCTCGACGCGGATCAGGAAACGGACGAAGACTAGGGGTGGGGACTTCTTTTTTTATTATTATTTTTTTTTTTTCCTAGCGTCAGAGGATAATAAATTGTGGTTGTAGGGGTCCGGAGGTAGTTGCCCCGATGATGTGTGTGTCTTCGACGAGTGTACCGCTGTCATCGTCGTCCTTGTTATTTTAACTCGTGTATCCTTTAATCGGATGTTCTGAAATTTTTTGGTTTCTTTTTTTTTTCTTTTTTTTTTTTTTTAGATGATTTCCAGTGAAACGAAACGGCGCCCGGGTCTAGTGGTTTGAAAAAAAAAAAAAAAAAAAAAAAAAAAATTATTTTTCGTTTTTTCGTACCACCATCAGACACACCTATACTTCCTCCGTGTGTAATTATTATACTCCAATGTAGTATTTTATACTACCCGATAAAATTTTTTCAATAATCGTAAAAACCGTCTGGTTGCCAGATGAGAATTATGACCCCAATCGATAAAAGAATTTTCGTCACTTTCCGGATGCTCGTATGTCCATACACGTGTAGATAAAGGCAGAAAAAAAAAATGTAATGTCAACACAGCTGGCGCTTATCTTATACGTTTTGAATTGTTATTTTTTACACAGCCTATAAAATAGTCATTTTATAGTGCTGCACAATGAAAATTTTACTTTTACGACTGCAGAGCGGTCCTTTTTTTTTTAAGTATTAGAATTTCACATATGTTTTGAACTTTTTACCAAAACTGTCGTTATGACGAAGATTTGTTATTATACGTAAACATACACTAATAAAGCCAATAAATCAAGTCGTCGGTAAGTGATGGATCAACACACGTGGCGTATTTCGCGTCTTTTAACAACACGTTTAAAACGACCCCGAGACTATTGGTGCGTGTACAAAGTATGTACGTACAAATGATTGTAGAGAAAAAAAAAAAAAAAAAAAAAAAAGAGAAATAGAGAAAAAAAGTTTTCAACACCAAGCACAAAAAGATGTTTGAGTACTTTTGTAACCATGGATATGTGCATATTTTGCGTGAGGTTGAAGATCCGTAACTCAACTGTACGTGTATAAATCCTGTAAAATCGATGCAGTTGTCGCGAGAATTGAGAGCCACGGCTGCCTTATTTCTTTACTTAGGAGCCCTATATGAACTATAACAACGATATAAAGAACGTTGGGTGTATTTTTATACCGTAGAGGCACGAACTTCAGAGTGAACAGTTGGTCCGTGCATGAGAAACATATCGTCATTATTTCATCGTTATTTTTGTACCTCTGTGTATAATTCAACTGTATATATAAAAAAAAAAAAAAAAATAATAATAATAATAAATAAAAATACATGTATTATTCGAATCAACTATTGTGAATGTCTTAATAACTAAATCAACGTGTTATTTTTTTCCACCAGTACTGCTTTTGTTGATCAGACATACTCGACATGGCTGGGACACACAAAAAGCTTTTCCCTCATCTCAAGCTTGAGTATCAATATTACCAATATAAGCTACATTGGAAATAGTAAGTAATACACGGAATGAAAAAAAAAGAAATCATACTCTTTATCAAGTAATTCAAATCGGATTAAGAAATCAAAGTGCGAAATGTGATTGTCGGTAGTTGCGTGTTTGTGGGGGGGAGTAAAATGTTGTTGCCTCGATGGCCCACTCAATTTAATCCATGCACACGCGAGGCCTCCTCATTCCCTCTCTCCGACACCCCGACAATCAGCGCATCTTCATTTGTGAACTCTCGCTCGGGTGCGCGCAAACATTGCGTCCACTCGCTTGGGACAGTTGGCCCGCCGAGCCCGACAATTATTAACAGTTGATGGACATTTCCAACTGCAGACCACTTACGGCTCCATCGGACGTGAAAACTTGACATGCTTGCGTTCGTGTGGTGGACCTATTATCCCCGACGCGCTGCCGCGTCGATGGGCCCTCCGACAAGAAGTCACCCGTGGCGTGGTTGACTGAAAAACAAAGCCGCTAACGGCAGAGAGTGTGTACGAAAAGTACATGATTTACGACAAATAATGGTTTTCCATCGTTACGATGTGTAAAATCTATAAATCATTAATTGATATCCAAACGTGCATCGGCAATCGTGCATACCTTATAGTGTAACATGAAAAATAAAAACAAAAAAACAACGAAGTTTATCGTGATGGAACATGAATGTCAAACCCAATGTAAAAGTACATGTAGGATTCGTTCTGGTAAATGGATAAAACAAAACGGGTGAAAATAGAATTGGGGATAGATGTTTAATTAATTTTGACAAACGTTTGCCAGAAAGAATCATCCGTTCATATTCGATCTCAAATAAGAGATAAAAGTCGAGGAAATAATCATAAATTGAGTTTGGAAAAGCCAATTCATCCAACGTATAATTAGTAGGGTGGTGAAAAATAAACCAAAAATCCCCTGTGAAATCCAAATCGATACCAGCTAAAAGCGTGTTATTTCATGTAAAAATATGTACCGAACGAAAGAAACTGATAGCAAAGCAAAAAAAAAAAAAAAGAAAGTACATACAGATATTGTATGATTTTCATCAGTGACATGGCAAAAAAGATGATCGGTACTAATTAAACTACGAAGCTTTGGAGTGATTGAAAAATCCCCCGAGGCCTTAAAACCATCTAGAGTTCACCGATCGATGAACACTTGTTCCAGTCGTTTGAGCATATAATACACATACGTATAATTCTTGCTCCTCGAAGGAAAGAAAACCGTTATCATTTCGCGAATAAATTGCACCATGCAGAGAGAGAGAGAGAGAGAGAGAGAGAGCCGGTGACGGTCGGTGCACAATATTCGGGAGGCGATACTGTTGTACAAACCGGCTCGAGTCATTGCACTCTGCTTACCGGTACCTTATACACGGCCCAACTACCGGTTCTTAAATCTACCTTTCCCGATTCGCGAGCTGATCACGGAGCCCAATGTGATACACATGCGTGTGCTAATCCACGCGGAAAAAGCGCGTCAGGTATAAGTAATATTTTTTTTTTACTAGTATGGAGCAGTTTGACTACAAATACATGTATTTGCGTTGTATACTTAACTTGATCACCATGCAACCATACCGATCAGCGCGTATGCTCGTTGCAACAATTGCACAAAGTGTCCCACAGAACTGGAGAAAAACAAAAACAAAAAGAATGTACGAGCCCGATTTCGACGGATCAGCTTAGCGATACGTTCTCCGTTTTCAAATATAAGATCGGTAAATTTGTTTTCCCTCGCGGGCAGTTCAACGTTGTCCAAAAGATACGCAAAGAAAATTCGATAAACAAAGTCACGGGTGTACTCGCACTTGAGGAAAAGAAAAAAAGAAAAATGTATGATCATATACGTGGGGCGTTCGGGCGCGCCCGTATAAAAAGTATATATAACGTATACACACCCGTGCCATTATAGTTCCGAAGGCACAGCGCGCGCGCGCGCCGCTCTCCGCGGGCTCCATGTCGCGCATCATAATTATAGACAGTCCTGCCGGAGCGCTCGAGGTTGCCGCAGTCGACGATCCACGAGCACGGGCCTCGGTCCTGATCCTTCTCTTCTCGTCGCGCACGGATAGCTCGGAGACATCGGTGCGCGCGCCGGCTGGGACGACCGGGCAGCGCCGTCAGGTGGGTGCTGTAACACTTTTCCTTTTTTTTCTCAACCACTCGGAGAACACGTTGAGAGGAGAATGAAAATTTAAAAAAAAAAAACAACAACAACATTTTTTTCACATACGATATCCTCAGATGTCCGCAGGACTGACTCTTATTTTTTGCGCTCAAACTAGCTTGTCGATCGTTCATCCTTCGAGTTTCGCCAAGATTTTGCTTTTTTCTTTCTTTTCCGGCGCGCGACACGTGGACCAGTGTCCTTGGCGCCATTGGTCATCTCTTTACCCGAGACGCGGTGTCCTTTTCGTGCACGTAACACACGTATACATGGCCCCTGTGCGACTATAGGGACATTGTTATTTGTATATACTACCCGCTTCTTTTCTTGGCGCGCATTCAAATGCACAGCTATAGCTCTCCAGGGGAGGGAGATGGGGAGAGGGAAGAGTGAAAATCGTCAACGTGGTAATGCATATGTGTGTATCTGTATGTATATATACGTGGATGGTGTAGCCTCGAGGGCGAATTCCGGCTCGAGATGTACAGGAATTCGTCCCGAGGCGATGCACCTTTTTTCGGCTTGTGCAGGAAGAGTAGGTATGCTACATCCACTGTGCGACTCGTTCCGTGTTTCCCTGTACGTGTAATATTCTCCCTGATACCGAGCAAGGAAATGTCGACAAGGCACGACTCTTATCGCGACGTGATTACGTGGTTTTTTTTTTNGCCACTGTACGTGCAATTGTCAAAGAAAAAATTATTTCGCAAGCTATCACGGGCTTAGATTCTATATATACTAATCGCGCGTCCTAGTTTGCATATAATGTCGAGTGTTGTGTAAAGCGGAATCTCGTAGCCTATCAAGACGGTAATTTTTTTTTTTTTTTTTTTTTTACATACGTTTACTCAAGGACGTGCAAAAGGGTGTCACAAAATTATTATTTGCTCCGTTTCGTCCTTTGGCGTTAATTTTAACGGATATTACTCGTATACAGAGTTGATTAAGTAGCTTATGGCTCAATGATTCGATTGGCTTGTCACGTGTGATTGTTGACATTGCTGTGGTTGATTTTACGACAAATACCTCGACAAATACCGGGTTGATTACACATTTTTATTTTTGGTGAAACTTTTTTTTTAATTGCGTGTCAAGTGTACAAATTTTAATTATGTGCCGTTACGAGGACGTATGTACTTCGCCGGGAGAACTAACGTATTTTTTTTTTTTTTTTTTTTTTTTTTGTTTCCCTCTCCGAAAGCAACGGCAAAGCAAACAAAAATGACTGAGTAAAATCGTAGAGACGTGCCATTACAGCCAAAGTAAATGATTTAGGTGTGCATATAATACGCTCAACTTCCAGCAGGGCCCGTTCGACAATCAAAGTGCACATCAGTGCTATACTTGATACCGGCCACTCATACCGTGCATTATGCCCATTGAAGTACAAGCAGCTACAACTGTTTAATGCCGTTTGAAAAGAAACCACTTACATCACGAGAGAGCAAAGGTACATACCTATATAGCTATACGCATATACAATGTAGATGCATGAGCGAACCGGACGACCGGCTTTTTCTCTCTCTCTCTCTTTCTTGGGAAGTAACTGTACATTATACATGGTTTAAAAGAGTCTCACTAAAGGTTTGTGCGTGTGTGCATTGGTTTTGTGCGTGAGCCGATGAACGGGTGGGTGGGGGGAAGGAGTTGAATGTCAAGCTGAACCGCGAACGAAGAATCATCCCCGTGGATGGATAAATGTTTCATTTTTACCTATGCACACGAAGTTAGCGTAACTGTTGGCAATGCCATCACGGTTGATAATTGTTTCTTTGGTGTTTAAAAAAAAAAATAATAATAATAATAATTTCAAAAAACCAGTGCAACGTGCACGCTTCTCGGGACGAATAAACATCCCAGCGGTAGTACACCATCGTTACTCTCGTTTCCATTTTTCATGTGTGTGTAGATTGGCGAAAACAGATGAATTTAAAAAAAAAAAAAAAAAATTAATCCACGCATGAATTTGCATTGACTTTTTGTTTCTCTTTTCTGTACGACGCATACATCACATATGTACATTCGATTTTCGGGATGAAAGTAACAAATAAATAATTTAACAAATATACCAGCCCTGGAGGTGAAAAAAAGGGTAACGAGCGAAATTGTAGTTGGTACAGCGTGAATAATCCGATGCTCATCGTTGGACGACAACCCCTGCGCGGGGGATGAATCCCCTCTTCTCTACTATAGTTGGGTACGCGCGAGAACCAGTGGAGTTTAAAAAGTCGCCTCATGCGTGAAATACTTAATTATGAGCGGAG